AATGCCGGTGCACTCCAGGATTTTCTCCAGCTCCTCTGCACTTGTACCTATTACATCTATTTATTAGCCTGGTTCACGCACAACTTTGAAAAATCAATGAACAGTTTCCATCCACTGAAAACATTTCATTAACATTTGATACAGTAAACACATTATTCGGGAACTAAGCTTTCCTTGGTGGCTATTCTCATAAGGTTATAAATAATGATATATGGTGGCTGGAGGAAGGATAACACAGAACTCTTAACTGGTGCAGGAAATACAGCCCCGTACCTCTAAAAGAAAGAGGCTTTGATGCTTGGAAATGCCTTATATGTCATTCTTTCATGAGCTAGCTTGTTCAGTCCTGTTAAGTGAAAAAGATGGGATAAGGAGGCAGAAGGAACACAGTATGTGATGTTTCAGTGGGATACATTAATCAACTAGCAGCCAGATTATCTGTGGAACTGTTTTTCATCCTGAACAAGTAAGATTCCATGAGTTATTTTTGATCTTCATTCTGGGGCACCTGTTTTAAATAGGGCTGGGAACAGGAGATATTTAAAGAGGCTTGGATCTTCTGTGGAGAGCTTTTCCTCAGGGTATTTGTGTAGACCTGCAGTTAGGGTTCAACCAAATAATAACCATTGCTACTCTTCAAAGTCTCCTCCATATTGTTCCCATTTACACCTTCTGTCCTCATCTAGTTTCCTATTTAGGCTTACTGTGCTTTATTTTTGGTCTGCCGGATCTCTTATAATATCACTGAGTTTTATGAGTATACAGAATTAAATCAATAGAATACATGTTTGTCCTCACACAAAAATGAATGTGAATGGAAAAAGGCAAGTTTAAAAAAAGGGTAAAGTTAGAAGTATTAAACTGTATCATCATCAAACAAGTCACATGAATGTGAATGGAAGAAGGCAAATTTAAAAAAAATATGTAAGATTAGAAGTATTGAATTATATAATCATCAAACAAATAATCAAATCAAATGTATACATATACTATAGGTACAGTATGTGTATAATGTATGTGTACATTTGATTGTGTATCCCCTGCTAATGTGTATGTTCCAAAACTCATTTGACTACTTCTGTACAGACCCAGCACTGACAGACAGCGTCCAGTTTCCTGATGGGTGGGGAAGAAAATCAGAATGGTCTTGGCTATTCAGCAAAGAAGGGAAATCATCAGTTTAAGATTCCTCGGAGTGCTAATATTGCAATGGTGATTCAATCGTATATTGAATATAATCTGTTTTGTTGCCTCTGCATCGTTCAGTGTATTGATGCATGAATGCAAATGGATTAGAAGGTGATGGCTGAAGCTCTTGCCCATCGGCAGCTCTCTCTCCTATTGCTGTTCATAGCAAGTGCAGCCCCATTGTACGTAAACTATGACCATTTATGGACCAGTGCATTAACTAAGCCACGGTATATTTTTGAATTACGTTCATACTCCATCCTGTATGCTCCACAGTAATTGAGGAGCTGCTTCACCTGAGTTCAGCTGTCCCTTCTGCTGGCATTGGAAGCCATCCGAGAAGACCATGCTGTTAGCATGGGCAAGTACACATTCAGCTGTCCAAGTTTAATCTGCTTGCATTCTTAAATCAATAACCCAACTCAAATAAATGAAGTTTA